TTTGTATCATTATAAATGTCTTTACTGTTACTTTAGATATATTTCACATGTCCTTGCTGAATAAAATAATTTTTTCAAAATAAAATTGGAATTTGTAATGACGAAATAATAGTGAAGATATTCATTATACATGGTTCATTGTTAACAGTGATTTCTCTGTTTGCAGCAAATGTACATCGCTTACGTAAAGAACTGTAAGTTCACATCTCCCAACACTCTTCCAATGATTAATTTCATGCAGCGGACTCTCGCTGAGATGTACTCACTGGACACACAGGTGTCCTACCAGCATGCCTTTATTTACATCCGTCAGCTAGCCATCCACCTCAGGAACGCCATAAATTTGAAGAAGAAGGTAGTTTGAACTCTTGGCATGTATTCTTTTGTGTTGAAGAAATGACTGTTTGAAGTTAACATGAACATAAAGTTGACCATGTTTATTATCACTTTATCACTTATTGTGAATGATTCATCTGTGCTTGTTATTCCAAAGAAAATTCTTCACTTTCAAAATTGATGTTTAGGTATTGTCAGGTATTGTTGTAGCAAACTCTCAATCACCCACTTTTCACAATCCAATCAATTCTTGATTATTAAAGCTTTTAAAGAGTCCAACTTTACGTATATTTTTCCTCTTTGTATATACTCTATCACTAAGAAATATGTCCAATATATTTTTTGCAGATGTCAGCTTATCTTGATCAGTATTTTTCTGTTTTGTGCATCCTCAGGAGACATATCAGTCTGTGTATAACTGGCAGTATGTGCACTGTCTATATCTGTGGTGTCGGGTATTGAGCACCATTTACCCCAGTGAGGTTTTGGAGCCATTGATCTACCCATTGTGTCAAGTCATCATCGGGTGCATCAAGTATGTATTGATTGATTGTTTGTTTACTGCTTTTTTTGCTCAGCATCTTTAAAGAGATATTTCACCCACTTTGAGTGTAGTCATGAGTCAAATGGGCCAGTATGGTGCTTTTTTGTCATTTTTGGAAATTGACAGTGTCAGAAGTCACTAAGTCGTTTACATAGGCCTGCATGATTAATCAAAATAAAATCTGAAATATGATATAGCTTAGTGTGATTATCAAATATATGCACTGCAAGTTTTCAAGTGAAGTGCGGCACTGTTTTTAAACGACTAATTATTTTAGTTTTCTGAAGTACTCTAATTTACAGTGAATATTTCAATAGTAATGTTTATTTTATTTTTAGTAGTTTTTAATTGTTCATTTAGTAATAATAATTATTATTATTATTTTAATTATTATTTTATTGGCAGATTGATAGATAATCACAACATTTTGGGCAAATTGTGCATCCCCACAAACAAGCACAGCAAACGGTTTTTGTTTTTGTTTTTAAATAACATTTTAAATTGCTATCACAATTTTTATGAGAAAAATCTCAAGTTTTTTTTTCTTTTGGTTAACTACTCTGTAAATGCCATTAAGAGTTACTGCGTTAACAGTGTTTTTACCAGCAGCTGGCGCCATTAACCACATTTAAGTTTACAATTCTCAGTGTCGATTTGAGATAAGAACCTCAGCTCTGAATACTACATTACATCTCTGCCTGCAGATATTAAAAAATTATGTTAAAAATCCACATTACTTTGTTTGCTTACAGAAAGTACTGTTTTCAGTTAAACTCTTATCAAGTCATTAATGGCTCCCTTTATGTGTTTGTGTGTGTGTGTGTGTGTGTGTGTGTGTATTTGTAGGCTTGTGCCCATCTCCCGCTATTACCCTCTGCGACTGCATTGTGTCAGAGCGATCACCCTGCTGTCTGCCAACACCAAGACATACGTGCCCGCCCTGCCCTTCCTGCTAGAGGTGAGACTTGCAGATCATGCCATCATCAACTGTTCTGATGTCTCCCTGCATCTCCCAGGCTGCCTTGAATAAACAGGTTCCTGTGTGGGTGGACGTGATTTGGGCATGAGTACTGTACCCACGGCGTTTGTCATCACGGTCGTCCTGCTTTTTTACAGTTAACTATAAAAAGATTTCATGCTCTGACCTTTCTTCACATCTGAAGTACACTTACAAGAAATCTTCCTATGAAGAATCTACCAACTAAAGGGTCAATTTGTGAGGTCAATTAGTGTTCTTTTTTACTTAAATATATTTTGTTGCTTTTGTTAGTAAATGAATTAAGAGATGCAGGGGTTTAGCATGCTAACAGCGTGCTGTGCTTTAGCATGCTGCTAGACTGTGAGCGCTGTAAACGGAAAGATGTCGCCTGTCTTCATCCCTTCAACTCCACTACCATCAAAGTAGTTTTTTGTATCAAATACACCATTTTTAATACATTAATATATTTTAAGGTAATTTCCTTTTTTCCCTTATTCACTTACATTTACTTGGGCAGTGCTGTTGTAAAACATTAACCAACAGCCAAATACACTAGTGTACAAAAGCTTAGTCAGTAAGATTTTTTCCCCTTACATTTTAGAAACTTTTCTTTAGGAAGGACTCATTAAAATAATCAAAACTGACAGTAAACACACAATGTTACAAAAGATTTATATTTTAAATAAGTGCTGTTGTTTTTAATTGTGGAAAAAATGTATAATGATTTCCACAAAAATATTGAGCTGCACTGTTTTCAACATTGGTTATAAGAAATATTTCTTGAGCAGCAAATCAGCATATTAGAATGATTTCTGAAGGATCATGTGACACTGAAGACTGGAGTAATGATGCTGAAAATTCAGCTTTGCATCACAGGAATAAATTACATTTTAAAATATAAAATCAAAGACAGTTCTTTTAAATTGTAATATCATTTTAAATAATATATTATTGTTTTACTCTATTTTTAATCAAATAAATGCAGTTTTCATGACTCGTGAGCATAAAATACTACTTTCAAAAACAAAC